TCAGAGAGATATGAATGCCTTAATTAACAAGCCTGAGCTAATGGTGATAAATAGAAGTCTGCACCCAAGAAAGACTCTCGAGAGAGACTGGATAAACCCATTGTCGTCAAGTCGATTCTGACTCATAGCGACCCTATAGGACAGAGTAAAACTGCCCCAGAGGGTTTCCAAGGAGCAACTGGTAGATTCGAACTGCCAGCCTTTTGGTTAGCAGCCAAACTCTTAACCACCGTGCCACAAGGGCTCCAGAGAAACTGGGTAGTTGCTTTAAACACAAATGATCTGTTTATAAAAATACAGCATAAATAGAAATTTGAAATATTTATTGGCTACAATGCATTAATATTAGAAACCAACAATATTTCATTGAAATTTCATATAAATTGAGATCCTTAGATCTAGAATTACTTGTAAATAATTCATGGGCTTAAAGAGGTAACTGAAATACTTAAAACTAAATGATGATTAAGGCACTACATTTCAAAACCTGGTGCATTTTGAATAGCCAAAACTGTACTCAGAAAACATTTATAGTCTGAACTGCATGTATTAAAGATAAACTGAGCTTTCAACTGAGGAAGCCAGAAAAAGAATAAGCTGAATCCAGAAAAAGTACAAGGAATTCCAAGATAAAAACAAATTAATGAAGTGGGTATAGGGAAGAGATAGTAAAGTAACCAATAATGAAGTCTACTAAAAGAAAGATAACTTTGGGAAGTATGGGGAAGAAAACAATCATCTACCATTTATCTGTAATTACATTAAAAACATTTATGAGAACTGTTCATGGGCTTCGGTGTGATGATACTCTGCTTATTGTTTTTAAGTCCTGATCTTTTACGGTTTTATACTTAAATACTTACCTGGCATTTGCTTTAAAATATATGGGGAAGGGTAGAACTGAAACGAAACAGGAGTGGCTATGAGCTAATGATTGTTATAGCTGACTGATGGCTACAGAAGGGGCACCATACAATGGTCCTTTTGTGTATGTTTGAAATTTCCTATAATAAAAAGTTAAAAATAATAATGCAAATATTTAAAAAGAAAATAATCATTTGAGAGTACTATTTACAACTCTGTACTAATGCATGCATTATAAATAACATTTATTAAACACATAACATGTGTTAGGCTCTCTTCTGAGCCATTCACATGTATTAGTTGAAAACTTTAAAGGTCTCTTCTTAGTAACTAGGAGACTTTGGCCAGTTAGCTCTGTTACCTCAACTACAAAATGAGGTAATCGATCATAGTACCTACGCCATCAGGTTATCCTGAGGATTAAATGAGTACAGTTAAGGCACCTAGAAGGAAGACTGGCACACAGTAAGGGTATAAAACATGTTAGTGATCATTATGAACTGAATAAAGGCTGCTTCTCAAACTGCTAGAGTCTGCCAGGTCCCGACCAGTCCACCTTTGAGTGATAACGCACAGAGGAGATTTGACAGAATCTTGATACGGAAACCAAACAAGGCTAGGACCAGAATGGAAGAGCTCAGGGCAGTCTTACTTGTCTGAATACAGACACAAAAATCCTAACGAAAATATTGTCAAATAAAATCTAGTGTGTTATATGAGAAGAATTATATATCTCATGAGAAAGTAAGAATTATCCTGGAATGTACAGCTAGTTAAACATTACCAAAAATCTCTCAGTGAATTCAGGACATTATTAAATAGACTTTTTTTTTTAAATATCAATAGATGGTGGCAAAGCATAAAATAAAATAGCACCTGTTCGAGACCAAAATAAAACTCTTAGCAAACTAAAAAAATAGAAGGCAGTCTTTTTTAACTTCAAAAATGTTTGCTGTTGAGGTCCTGGGAGCCCTGGTGCTGCAGTGATGAAGAGCCACGGCTGCTAACCAAAAAGGTCAGCAGTTCGAATCCACCAGGTGCTCCTTGAAAACCCTAAGGGGCAGTTCTGCTCTGTCCTATAGGGTCGCTATGAGTCAGAATCAACTCGACGGCAACGCATTTGGTTTTCCTGAGGTCCTGACCAGTGCAGTAAAAGCAAAAGATTTAAGATATAAGAAGAATGAAGACTGAAAAGAGGCAAAATTGGTATTATTGGCAGATACAGATGTGAACCACCTACCTAAAGAATCCACAGATGAATACAGCTTACAAGGGTTCACCACGTGAAAATCTGGAACTTCCCTACACATCAGCTGAAACCAAGCAGAAAATGTCTGAACAACAGGTCATTCTGAGGAGTAACAGAATCTCTAAAGTACCCAGGAATCAAGCTAAAAATACACTGGTAACAACTATGAAGTAAAACTATGGATCGTAACTGAAAGCCATAAAGACCTGACTAAATGGAGAAAAGATACCATATTCATAGACAGAAAAACTCAGAACTGAAAAGATGTTAATTTCCTCGGATCTCTCTCTATAGTCAATGCAACCTACTGAAACTCTCAGCGGAACATTTTGTGTCCCTTGGTTTTAAAATTAATTTGAAAAACAGTAAATGCAGAGACAGCCAAGACAATTGTGGAAACTTGCCTTATCAGATAGCAAGGCTTGTTAAAACCTATAGGAATTAAAACGAACGTGTGCAGATGCAAAAGAAAGATGAAAACAGATGAATGGGCCAACGCAGAGAGCTGAGAAACAGGCCTGGGAACTTAGTGTGTGATAATCAGGCAGCTCGAGTCACTGAGGAAAGATCAGACTATTCCATAAAGGATATCAGGAAAATCAGTTATTCTTTGGAAAAATAACTACAATCAGGCTCCTACCTTACATCCAAACAAGAATTAGACTTGGATTAATTAAACAATTAAATGTAAAAAATACAAAGAAGATTTTTAAGACGCCAACCGAAACGATACTTCAGTATAACAAAAACGACCACAATGTTAAGGGAGACCAGACACTGGAAAAAATACAGACGACATCGAGTAACGCCCCCAGATGCGAGCGCTTTCTCTCTGGGAGAAAAAATAATCCCAGAAGTTACGGTTTTAGTGCCCTGGAGGACATTACCCAGTTCTGTATCTAACCTAGCAATTTTATTCCAGATTCTTTCTTCATTGAATATACTCAGTTCCTCAAATGCTCTTTTATCAGCCTGCTGGTTCCCCCATTAATGAGTTAAATACACAGTTATCATGTGTTCAAAAATTAAAAAAAAAAACGCCACAAATCCATTTGAAGGAGGCAAAGCTAATAAATGGCCAAAGTATATTAATTTCAGAAGAGGAAATAGACATAGTCAATAAACATAAAAAGATATTCAGCCTCCCTGGTAATCAAGAAAATGCAAATTAAAACAAAAGTAAGATACAGTGTTTCACCCATCAGACTGGCAGAACATTTAAAGTGTACAGTGATGGGGGGAAACAAGTTCTCTCACCCTGCGAGGAGTAGCAGGTAATAGCCATTGAGAGAGATTGGTAGTATCTTGAAAACTGACAGTGGGCGTTCTGTGACTTAGCTCTTCTACTCAAGGCGCCTACTAATGCGCACAAGATACAAACTAGCGTCATCACGGTGAAATGAGGGAGGCCAGCTGTTTGGTATGCATGTAGCAGATGCAAACACGAGCTAGAGCTACATGTACTGCTATACCTAAATCTGGAGGACTGTACCTAAATACACAAATTTTTTTACCTCTGGATATAGGTTACCTCTAAAGTAGGGATGGTAGTTAAGGGGGACTTAGGTCTTACTTGTATTAAAGATGTAAAACGTCCGTAATGTTTTAATTTCATTTAAGAATGAATTCAGAAACTGCGTATTTAATAGTTTTCAAAAGAACAATGGGCACCAAACCCATCACCAGTCCAGTCAATTCCAACTCATAGTGACCCTATAGGACAGGGTAGAGAACTGCCCCCATAGGGCTTCCAAGGCTGTAATCTTTAGGGAAACACACTGCCCCATCTTTCTCCCGTGGAGCCCCTGGTGGATCCGAACCACCCACCTTTCAGTTAGCAGCTGAGCGCTTAAAACCACTGCACCACCACGGGATCTAAATTCTACTCTCATTTATACCACCGACCAGCAACACTATCTTCAACAACTGACTTAATCCATCTGTTTTCTCATGACTAAAACGGAAACTCTGCGCCATCACAGGTTCCTGTGACAACTGGAGTTGCCAGCCTGGCCTGATGAGAAAGTCTACTTTCACTTTTCACATCGAGGCCGTTTTCTTATGTGAAGCAAAGAGAACCATATTGATTTCTCCAAGCATTTTCACAGAAAGTGCTCTCATCTGGAAAGTGCTACTTTAGTGCCAGAAATAATTACTTAATACTAATGCATTCTGACATTCCTCTGACTACATTTTGAGACATATATTTCCATTTTTATTCTTGATATTTTATGTTCAATTTAGCTGTTTGAGATTGTTCACATTTTTTTTTTGACTTTTCAGAGCCCCTTACTACTTGTTCAATAGCCCATAGTTAAGATTCTCTTATATACTGTATTTTATGCAAATAACATGGACCTTCTACGTTTGTTTGCCAGCCGTGCCCTCCCTCCTGCAAGGTATTTTCTTAAGCACTGCTATGCCTATTTTTTTTTACATGTTCTGTAAAAAAAATTAGCATAGTGCACTTACAAAAATCCTTTATGGGTGGGGGGTAAGGAGGGTGTGGTTGGCAAACAAAATGTTTATCTGCGTAAAAATGCAATAGTTTTTTTTTTTCCTATTGCACCACCCAACTCCTCCTCATCACCAAATCTTCTACAGTCCTCCTGAGTCTAATTCTGAACCTCGCATTTCCCATTTCATATTATGCTGTGGATCTGATAAACGAGTTTAGGAGATTTCATATTCATAAACAAATGTCACCTTTGTGCTAACCTCCAGAGCTCTCCCCTGCCCAGCATTTCATTCATTTCTGTCTTCTAGAATAGATGTCAATACAATCTGCTTAACTTCTATGAAAATCCATGTTGGTGGTTTCATCCCCATATACGCGGGCCCTTAGTAAATCTGAAATAGCATCACTGGTGTCTCCTTTCTCCCCAAGGTATGGAGCAGTGTCAGCAGGAATGCTGTGTGCCCTTACCACCCTGTCCCAGCAGTTGGAGAATGAAAATGCTGTGGATGTTTTCCAGGTTGCAAAAATGATCAATCTCATGAGGCCTGGAGTATTCACAGACATTGTAAGTAGTTTGCTTATTTGAGAAAGCTGGACAACATAGGTGAAGTTTGGACTCACACTTCAGAGCAATGGCTCTCAACTAGGGGTCATCTCCCCCCGGGGGATATTTGGCAGTTTGGGGAGGGGTTGTCATAACTGGGGCCAGGGGCAGGGGGGTGCTACCGGCGTACAGTGGCTACAGGCCAGGGATGCTGCTACACATCCTGCAATGCACAAGACAGCCCCCACAGCAGAGAATGATGTGTCCCGGAATGGCAGCGTACCGAGGCTGAGGAACCCTGCTTCGCGGTATGGTCTTCTCTACTTTGGAGTCTCCATTGTCTTAATCAGCTGTTAACACTGAGAATTAGTTCCAAGCTAACAGAGATCAAAAAGACAAGGAGATGCAGCTCTTGATTAGAAAGGATTCAGTGATTATTAACAAAAAAAAAAAAATTTCTTGGCCTAACTTTGTATTCCTGTTTCTCAACTATGTTTTTCACACTGACCATCTAAATGCCATTTCCACCTTAGATGAAATGACGAAGCCGTTCTTTGGCTTGGCATCGACTACAATTGTCTTCCCCTTGCTTTTCAGGAACAATACCAGTTTGTCTATAAAGCAATGCTCAGCTTGGTCAGCACTAAACAAAGTGGAACGGGTCCCATGACAGTGGATAAAAATGGTGCCGTTCTGATTGCAGATGAATCGGACCCTGCCGAGAGCATGGAATCGCTAGTGTGACTGGGATCCTGAAAGGGCACCTAATTTGTAAAACTTCTGAAGACTGAGAACTTTTTTGAGGCCTTTTTTGCCAGACTCTAGGTTATACAATAACAGTTACTTTTTTACACTGATAAAAGTTTTGATATTTATTTTTTGCCATTTTATGTCTTAATGGTATCCTACTGAGCATTCACCCCTCTGTTCATTGCACACAGTGAAACACAGATTTACCTAGTTTCCACTATATGATCAGTGTTACTGCCTAGAATCCAATACTAAAGCAAACCTGATGTGACATTCCATGACCACATACACGCTACTTTTTTAGTTCAGTACAGTGAAGGTCTTTGTTACGACAGTGAATCTTAATTTCATTGTTATTATTCTTGCTAAAGCAGCTGCATTCTACTAGCAGGCAAGGCTGTTCTTTTCCTCAGTCTTCCTCTCCTGTTTTCTGGGGCACTGCTAAAGACTGTATGCCTTCCGTGTTCCCATGGAGTGGATGAGCATTGTTTTCATTTACAGAAGAGCAGGCTATGGGAGCTAGTAAAAGGTCTGTCAGCCTCCTGGCCTTGAAAGAGTTCCACTGACAATGGTGAAGACATCCATTAAAAAATCAGAAGGCACGAGAGTTGTTTCATGTCAACATCACTTATTAGTTCCAAGGTTATATTCACAGCTACAAATAAATGGCCAATTGTGTCAAAATAAAGGATAACTCTGTATGACAGTTTTCACAGTAGCTACGTGAACAGTGTGTGTTATTTCTATGTTGACTCTCTCAAATAGCTACACCTGAAAATCAGGGCTATTACAACAGAGAGATGGCAATACTTTACACAACTCAGTAATGAAACTCTTTAGTTATTCTCCATTAATGCTTCTTGGTTTATAATACCATACCTCACGGTTCGGTGGAGGAGTAAAAATTTTGCAGGTGTGTGATTTTGAAACTAGTCCTCTAAAAAAAAATCCCTATTACTCGTATAGCAATCTAATAAAAACTACCTATATAGTTACCATTCTTCCCTTTTATGCCAAATGTTTCATGATAAACCTTTTCGTTACTTACACTCTTGTACTTTAAGATTACATTGAAAATACTGCATTAGCAAAAATCTTGGTTCTATCTAAACTCCTACACACGTGTGAACATATCTGCTTGGGGAAAGAATACTGACTGAAAGGTGATATCTACATTTTCTAGTAGTTTTTAAAAGAGAGAGACTGCTTTGTACACGTTCGTGTAGCTTAGCCTCCGGAACAGAAACACTTCAGTACGAGAGGCCGATAATCATCACACAGGACCCCGGGAAGTTAGCTGGTCCAGCCTGTGGCGCCATTGTAACCCTGCAGTGTCCAACGGCATTAGAAGCATTAATAAGACATTTCAGTCCAGTTTGTTAGAAGAAGAAGCTACTTCCAGAGGTCTGTTTCTTTCGATTTCTTTTGAGGGACAGCTTCTGTCAGAAGTGAAATCATCACCTGAAGAACTGGACCTATTAAGTACAGGACCCTGTTTACTTTTTATGTGAATAAACTTCAACAAATAGGCTGCGCTGGCTACTATCATGCTATTTGAGTAGGCATTAGAACACTAATGATCATCCACACTGAGGTTCTGTTTATCTTGAAGTTTGCCGGAGTGGGGCTGGAGGACCAAAGCTGCGAAGGAGAGAGAGGCTACAGGCCATGTCCAAGGGTTCCAATACACAGGACAGGTCAATAGAGTTTCCAGAATCTACATAACTTGCCAAGGTTAATCTCATCTGTTCACCACAGATGCAACAACACAGAATAGTCTCACTGCTTTTCAAGAACTGTGTAGACTAAGCTTCAGATAAAACGTTAAAATGAACAATGTTGGCTAAATTGTATGACCTTGAGTACACAGACAGCCTTACAGCCCCTCTGCTCACAAACACATGGGGTCGCCGTGAGTCGGAGTTGACTCAACAGCAACTGGTTTGGTTTGGGTTTTTTTGGCTCCCGTCAGAGGCAACACAAGGAAGGTCCAGCTAGCCCTTAAGAAAAGCATGAACATAGCAACACTGCAGCTCCCAGAAGGCTGAAGGTAATCACAGAGGGAGAGGTATCCGATCACAGCACGAGCTAGGTTTTTTTAGTCACTGAGTGGGTTGTACAGTATTGATATAAGCTAATTCATTTCAGTAGATGGCACAGTGGGCTTGACTTTTGGAAATAATTTTCAAGTTGGGGTTCATGGTCCTGTCAGTAATTTTTTGTTAATAAAAGTAAACATTGACTATAAGACACATAGCAAGTATTTCCTTCTGTATATAGATGGTTCCATTCATGGAAATGTATACTGTCCAATACAATTCTGTGACTGTCTTGCAGGGTATCAGAATCATGATAAAAGAAAAAATCAGCTAGTAAATAGGGTAGAGGCATTATAAGAACGGTTTAGAAGTTTTCTGTGAGCAATTATGTATCTACAGCAGGCTTGAACCAAAGTCTACAGATCCTGACCCACTCAACCATGAGCAATTGCTACTGCCCATTTTGCCAAGGTGGTCCAAACACACTACGCGGAGGATAGTTCCGCTGAGCAGTTCCTCACATTCATCAGAGTGTATCCTCACTATTACTCTCCATTGTTAATGGCAAACACGTGCTTGCATCTCTCCAGAGGCAGAGTTTCAAAGACGGTGTTTTCTTTGAGACGTAAGCACATTGCTCAACTACATAACAAGGTTATTACCACTTGCGCTCAAGGGGAAAGGAAATAGCTGTTGCAAATCAATGTGTGCTAGTTTATTGAAAGGTTTTTTGCATGTATGAGTTTCGCTCTAAGTAAAAGAATGCACACATTATACAAAATTGACCTGCAATGTTCAGACCAACTGGCTGTGCTGGACCTCGGAGAAAAGACACCTTATTGCCATGAGGACAACTTTTTCATGTATTTGAAAGCCATGGCTTCTTTTTTAATGTTAAAAAAAAAAAAAAAAGCTAATTTTTGAATTTCAAGAAAAGTAAGATTCATTTCATTTGGTTTTCCTGATTTTTTTATGTCTTGGAGCTTTGAGAGTCCATTTCAAGCAGAAGAGTCCAGCAAGTGTTCAAGGTCTGGCTGTTAGGAGTTTTTAGCCCAGAGTGACATAGTGAAATCAAAAAATAAATAACCTTAGCGATTTGATAGTGACATAGCACAACGGCCTTGTTAGGAATTTTTTTTAAATGCATATAGACTGCGTTTAAAATTAAAATATACCAATTTACCAAAGACACATATTACTAATTCTAAGCAAAAAAAGGAAAAAAAACCCCAAACTCATAATTTAAGAAATAATAATCAAAATGTAGTTTGTCATAAGAATTTAGTGATTTATACTTCCTGGAAAATGCATTTTCGACTCGTATGTTCTAAAGCTTATGTTCAAATGGTGCCAGTGAATTTTTATATGAAGGAGAAACGCCTGCTTTTTCTTTTTTCTTTTTTTTTAAACAACTGTAATTTCACTGAACCCTCTGTGCTTTCCCTTAGTTACCATTTAGCATACAACACTGGCTTATCATCTCCAGAAGGAAGGCATGCTACAGATAGGAAGGAACCGTCATAATGATATTTGGCCTCTACTTTGTCTTAGCTGTTAAACTGTTTTTAGTATTTTTGTTAAATATTTGCAAAGGGAAGCATTTTCTACAGAGGAAAATTAATTTCAAGAAAAATATCTTGAGTTTTAAGAAATACACATCTCCAGAAAAGGAGACAGTCGATTTTATAAAACGTTGCAACTCTCCAACATTTGGGGTAGTGACTCCTTTTTTGGGGACATTTGAAACTAGCAAGCAGCCATTGTTTCTAAAGAACTCAGCCTTCCTGTTGACTCGTGTTTCTTTCACTTCATTTTGAGATAGCGAAAATCATTAAAACTGTAAATATTTTGTTGCTTGGATAGCATCTTCTGGGAACTTTGTATCTATGGTATATAATCATAGAATTTTATATTTTCATATAAAGCTAATTTTTTTCTAGTTTCAACTCCGTCATAGTTTTTTTTTTTTTTTTTTTTTTTTTGTGGTGGATATGTGAATTCAACTTTCTGTGTATTGAAGTAGCAAGAACCATTTCTGCATTCCAAAAGAATCCAACATGTGTTATTTCTTTGAGGAAGTGGATTCTGAAAGTTGGGTTTTCTTTTTAATTCCGTTGACCATTTGTACACTAGGAATCAGACACATTTAGTCACTGAATACATTTGTTGCATTGACCCATTCGGAAAAAGCGGGGTTTTTTTTGTTTTTGTTTTTTTTTTAATTTGTTCGGGGGGAGGGGTTTTGTAACCTGAAATTTTTCCCTTTTTTCTTCTGTTTGAAACTATATCAAATCATTCTATTATAGTGTTATTTAATATGTAAATTGTATTGCTATACATAAAATAAAGTATGGTTTTTGATGTATTCGTGTTGAGCATTTCTATGAAAATCTCTATATCCAATAAAATTAGGTTACTAGTCTTCCTAACAGATCACATGTATACTACCAACCTTCTCATTTTAGTCTTCATGGCACTGAACTGAATGTTAGGGGCATCTCTCCACAGGCAACAAACCAACAACAAGTACTTTTGCTGGGCTGATTTATAAATGTTCTTCCTGCTTTACAGAGGAAACAATGGCAAAGCTTTATCTGCATACCCAATGAACTTCGTTCACTTGATGACTCTGCTGCTACCCTGTGAGCAGAATTACTGCTTTCTCCAGGGTGTCAGCTAGATTTGTAGCAACTTCTCAATACTTCCCATGTAGGATGAAGGATTTGTCCTAGCAAGGCTTTGGACATTTCCAAAAAAGGGTACATAGATCAGCGCTTGGCATCCTTGGTCCACCATTCTCTCTTAACTTTTCAGAGCCCCACGTGAGAAGCTCAGCCCTTACTATCCAGTCCCCAGTTTTTCTCTCCAGACAGATAAGAACCAATGCTACATTCTCCTTAAGTAGCTGGGAATTTAAGAAACAATATTAATCCCTTCCACGGGCACCTGGAAGAAGGACCTATACCGGCACGAAAGTGAACAACTCTAGTGATAAAACCCTAGTCTTCCCCAAACTACACCCCTGGGGACTCAATATTCTGTATTACAAACCAAAAACTCCAAGCTCACTGCCATCGAGTCTACTCCAACTCATAGCAACCCTACGGGACAATGAAGAACTGCCCCACAGGGTTCCCAGGGATTCGAACTCCTGACCTTTTGGTTAGCAGCCAAGCTCTTAACCACTATCACAGAGTAAACCAAACTGATGACCTGTGGATTATATTCAGTCCATAGATATATTTTATTTGGCCAGTGATTTTTTAAATTCGTACTGATTACCAACATTTTAAAAATACAGACATTTACATTAAAGACCCAGATTTCAAGCTTCTGTCAAAAACCTGGGAGATGCTCAACACCAGGGTTACATGTCCACGTGGCGACACCAGCCTGGAGAGGCGCAGCAGCTGCCCCTTTTAGGTGGGCACGCACTCTCCAGCTCCAGTCCCCATCGCTCCCTACTGCGTTATGTCCAGCCATTGTCTGTCATTGGACCGTGCGAGCAGCTGTCTCTGAGATATACCCAAGAATTTTAGGGCTATCTGCCCTGATGTCGCAAGCTGCTAAACCAACAACCAAGAGCAGCGGTCGACATGCAAGTACAGCGAAACCTGTGAGAGCCGGAACTCCATGGGACGGCCTTGTTTTTCTGGGTCTCGCGAGTTTCCGCCTTTGGCAGGGTGCAGCATTAACCACTTTCCTATCGCTCTCTGTTGGTGCCAAATACATGCGTGTTCCTCCTGACAGGTTTCTGCCTTACATTACACAGCTTCTGGCTTTCGCAGGTTTTACTGAAGTCATCTCAGTTTTCCATCATTGAAATCCTAGACAGCTAGCTTGGCTTCCCACATTCCTAGCTACCTGGGTCCCCCAAAACTGATGCCATTAGTTATCACTGTTCAAAATAATTAACAAATCAATTTTCTACTCCACGGCTTTTATTGTCTAAGACAAAACCCTAGACGAGGAAGCTTCATTTCCACTATTAAGAGCAGGCCAAGGAAACCAGCGTGGAAAGAGTCACTGGTCCAAAACTCCGCATTCTAACAGTCAAGACGGAACTTTAAGCCAGTACTAATCATGTCTGGATTCAGAGACACAATTAAAAAATAGAAAAACTTGTGGCTTTCTATGTCTGCCTATGTTGGTGAAATAGCACAAAGTTACTAGCAAGTTAAAATAGGCTTTGTGATTATGAAGTTTGTCAGGGAAGACAATTAGACCAGCAGCTTATCTGAATATAGCAATTATACTATCTTGCTCAAAAACTGAGAAAAGGAGAAATTAACTTTATCTGATTTGTGGCAACTTGAAATCATTTTACTTTTGTAGTTACTGACCTACGAACCAATTATCTTCCCTCCCCCGCACCCCATCTTTGCAAGGTGTAAAGGCAGGCTTTGTGGCCTTGCAAAGCTTAGTAGAACCTTCTAAACTGGGGACATCTTCAGCATTCTGTTACTATTCATTCCAGATGCATTTACTGAATACCTACTACGGGCTAAGTGTTAGCTACACTCTGTACAGAATGCAGAATTGCTGGCAGAGGCATTTTAAGTAAGATAAGACAACGATTACTCTTTAATCTCAAAAATCAGTTCTTCAATTTATTCAAAAATATTTATTTAGCACTACAGTAGATGTAGTTTTTAGAAAAAGCGAAAAGATACTTGTGATCAGTGAGAGCAAGCAAGATAAAACCTGTAACCACAGACATTCCCTAATTTAGAAAGAGACTGTGCTCATAAAATCCTGTCTGCTCTAAATTAATTTAGTTACCAGAACTCAGAAAACATTTTCCCACAGGAGAAAAACTGTTAAAGAGTGAGGATCGGAGAGTCACACAGCAAGTCTTCCGGTCAATTCTGCCACTTACTGACCGTGATTTGGGGCAAGTCACTTCACCTCTCTAAGCTCCATTTTCCTCATCCATAAAATAGAGTAACTAGTGTTTACCTCATAGAACTTTTGTGAAAAGTAAATGAGGTGATGTATGCAAAGCTCCTGGAATAGCATATCAAACCAAAAACCAAACCCACTGACCCTCAGTCTATTCTGACTCTAACGACCCTATAGGACAGAGTAGAACTGCCCCACAGGGTTTCCATTGAGTGGCTGGTAGATTCAAACTGCTGAACTTTTGGTTAGCAGCCAAGCTCTTAACCACTGTGCCACCAGGGCTCCTTGGAACAGTATATAGTAAGGATATAATAATACTAGCTGTGACAACTATCTTAACATATTGCTCTTTTTTTAAAATTGCTTAGCAGACTTTCTGTCAATCATTAAAAAGTCAACTACTCTAGCTTGCTCAATTAAAGAGGAATACTGAGAAATCTGAATCACTGACGTCCTTCCATATAAGGAAGCTCACCAAGTCAAATGAGGTCCCAGAGAGGAAGATGGGGATGGAGGCGGGTAGTGAAAGCAACCCATATATCCTACTGTCCAGAAACAAGACTGGCAGACGCAGGAAATAGA